TAAAAAAAAAAAAAAAAAAAGCCCCAAATCTCAGAATTGACCAATGCATGACAAAAAAAAAAGTTTGTGACTGTAGTGTCTCGCTTTCAAGCTTTTTCGTTAGAGTTTCAAATCCAAAGTGATTTGCCATTGCATGCCTTGAATCCAGAGATGAGATGAATAAATGCATGACTGTATTAACTGTGCTGTTCAGACGTCGCCTTGCAGCGAGACGTGGAGGGAGATCTTCTGCTGGGAGACATGGGTGAGGGCTTGCCCTTCAGACCGGGGATGTTCGACGGCTGTATAAGGTACGAGCTCGAGAGTTCGTGTCAGTTTGATGGGAGTGTACATGTTCAATGTGTGCTGTTCTGTCAGTATTTCAGCGCTGCAGTGGTTGTGTAACGCAGATAAGAAAACACACAGCCCTCCGAAGAGACTGTACCGCTTCTTCAGCACGCTGTACTCGTCACTGGTGAGTTCATCTGAGATGCATGCATGTATTTGTCAGACAGTGGTCATTATTCTCAAACGTGTGTTGTGTTGTTGTTGTAGGCCAGAGGAGCACGTGCTGTGTTCCAGATATACCCTGAAAACTCAGAGCAGGTCGGTGTCCAAACTCCGCTCTCTGGTTATTGTGCTCTCAGCATGCTGGATTTAGAGTGAATAAGTACAGATACAGACTGTCTGTCCCTCTTAGTTTAGTTTATATTATATATCTATTGTCTATAGATTATGTGAATCAGCTTCAGGGAAAGGGCCTTTACAGCTGCCAAAAATATCACTTTTGGGTTTTTTGTTATTAAAAATAAATCATTAAGCCCAGCCCAGGTGACAAAAAGTAACGCAAGAGTAACGTAATGCAAGTAACTAAGTAACACAATTAGTTACTTTTTCATGGAGTAATGCATTACTTTTAAAAGTATCTCTCCCCAACACTGGTCTACAGTTTCCCTTTGAAAGACTGACGGATGGACATTGTGCGATAGGGCTTTATTTAACCTGGCCAACTGGTCGCATTATGCTACATTATTATTATATTTAGCCAGTCATGACTGTGGACACCATACATATGCTGATAAGAATATTAACCCTGGTGAACAAGATAACCCATGATTCTGGGTTTAACTATTAAAAACTGTCAGTTTTAACCGTGGAGTGAGCGTTATGTTATTCTACACTCTCCACAATATCATTTGCATCATGCAATTCAGGTTCATTTCGAACTATCACGTTATTTCACGTTTTCTTCATTAAAGTTGCTTTGGATCGTTGCATCTGCTGAAGGAATAAATGTAAATGTGCTGAACACTGTATAACAATATTGATAGTGGTGTAGGTTTTATGTGAACCGTTGTTTTGGTCTATTTTTATTATTCTACTTTAAAGGCCAGAGTAATTTTTTATCGCTACATTTATTATTTGATGAATTGACACGGTTTCTACACTAGCATTCAGAAGTTTGGGATTGGTGCGGTTTTGAAAGAAGCCTCTTCTTTCAGTGTCACTTCTTCCAGAAATCATTCTAATATGCTGAAATATAAAATAGCAACATCTCTGATTATTATCAATGTTGAAAACAGTTGCGCTGCTTCATATTT